AAAATGGCTGCCAATTACGCAATTCTGGCTTTTGGCAAGGAAGAGTTTTGGGTAGAGGATACATTGCCATTACAAATTTATGAAATATTAGTGACTTAGTTTAGGAATTAAAAGAGCAGTAGGAATTTTAATAGATTAGAAGACTGTACTGTTCTCAGGAAATCTTGTGTTAGCCTGTGTCCTCCATCACATACCAAAGCAAGTTTATACCTGCTTACCTGATCATCCTCCTAATTTGGAAAGGCTTTTTATTTTATTGCTTTTCATAAAACGTTAACCCTGTACCTCATGGGGATTTTAAGAAAAAAACCAAAAACTAAACAAACCAACAAACAAAATATTTCCTTTTCCTTTTTTATTACGTAGCAATAAGCTCAATTTGGAACTCATTCAGAAATATCGCACACTGGTTATTTTTAGAGGAGCATTTGGAGTGTAAACAGGGACCCAGAAGGCATACAGGAAATAATTAAGTAATTCAAGAACTAGCTGAATCTCCTTCAAAAAGTCTTTGTAAATTTTCTAATGTACCAGAAAATTTTTCAAACATGCTTCAGTTTTGAGAGTGCTTTTAGTGTTTTTTCTTTTTAAGTAGTACTTTTCTTGTTATGCCGTTGATGTGGTATAAAAACAATGATCATTTTGTTTGCTGATATGAATCTAAATGTATTGTTTTTATTTTTAGGAAAGATCCTCATGGGTTTTTTGCTTTTCCAGTCACGGATGCCATCGCTCCTGGATATTCCATGATAATAAAGCACCCCATGGATTTTGGTACCATGAAGGAAAAAATTGCAGCAAATGAATACAAATCAGTCACTGAATTCAAGGTGAATTGATAGAGATTTAGTTATTTCTGAACTCTTTAGTAGAAACTGAAGATTCTTCTTAATTGTTGAAGCCTTTCTTAGATTAATTATTTTAATGTGCATTTTTTCAGAACTGAGCACTTTCGTATCTTCTGTGTGTTAGAATGGGTTTCTTGCTTTGTTTTCCACTGCGGGAGCTCTGTAGTTGTCAGATTCTACTAGAAATTATTGTGGAAGCCAAGAACATGCTCTAAATTTCTATGGAATTCGTGCTGCTAGACACAAACATGAGTAAGACTGTCACAAAGACTTAAGTGGTTGAAGAACCTGGAGCTTTTTTTTTTTTAAATCTAGACCATCTTAGATTGATTAAAATGCAATTTTGACGTGTCTACAAGAAAACTGCATATAGTGAAGCGTTCTGTGTAAGGTTCAATAACTGCCTGTTTTTTCTCTGTAACTGTCCTGTTTTCCATATAACTTCATTTGGAATGGTCTTTTGGCAGAAACTTATCGGCAAGTTTATTGACAACCTGCCTCAGCTATTTTGTGTATCGCTGTAATCCTTTCTTGGATGCATTGTGGTCTTACAGACAGTGCAGTAGGAAATCTTTTCATGGTATTGCCAGCTCCTGGAAGGAAAGGAGATTTTTTTTAACTGATTAATGAAGTTGTATTAGCTGCCTTCAGTAGTAAGTAATGCTTTCTAGAGAGGTGTGGATATAACGCTAGGCTTGGCAGAAAGCATTGACTTGCTTCTGAGGGTTAACTTCTTCTTTGGAAGGGTCCAGCAAGGTGAGCAAAGAATGGCTTTTATTTGCTGTAGATGCTTTGACAAAGATTATTCAGTTTTGTTACGTGTGCTTTATTTTTAAAAAAAGGTGGAGATCTGTAGGAAATAGTAAAGAAGGATGCATAATAGCGTTGCTGTCAGCAGTGCCTTCAGGTCTCACAGTTCTGTTGGCTCGCTGGATTGTCTTATTCAGCAGCTTAAAAAGGAAGATTGAAGAGGAGCTCAGTGGCTCTAGGTAGTTACAGGCAAGGTTGTAGTATTGAAACTGATGAGATAGCAACCTAAAAAACCCGAAAATCACAGTATTGTTTAGACTGGCCTGTCCTTTTTTTTTTTTTTTTTTTTCCTGAAGGATTTGATTTCAGCTAATACCCTGAGGAGCAGTAAATGGCTGCTAGCAGTCTGTCCATCTTACAGTGACAAGGAGGCTGGACTTCCTTTCTGGGTGCATGAGTGTACCTAATTACGCTTATGCCTTGGTAATTCTGTGCAGTACAGTAATGAAGTTTGTAGGTTTTTGACCTCTAAAACGAGGCCTGCTCAAAAGGGTTATCTTTATTTCTGCTGATACCTGTGACGTAGCTAGCTGAGGCCAGTCACACGCCAATAAAGAACTCTAAGGACAGAATCCACAAGAACCGTTTGCTGCTTTTAGAAGAGGGAGAGAGAACTCGTCAGTTTTGGGGTCTACTTCAAGGCTAGTCAAGCAAAAGTCTCTTCTCTGTCCTTTTCTGCAGCACTTCAAAGGCCATCACTAGATGTTTAGCTCACCTGGGCTTCTTTGCCTGCTTCTTGGCTTATCGTTTGCTCCTCCGTGTCACCTTCTCAATTTCTGTGCTCGTGGTGGTCCTGTTAAGTGAAGGCAGATGGCTTAGAGAAGAAGACAGAGAAAGTCACAGGCTCCCAGTTGCGGCCCTGTTCAGTAGGGGCTCGACCACAGCAACTAAATGAGGAGAGCACCGCTGTGACACCCCTGTATGGAACCAGGAAATAAAGCAATTGTTTGTACAGAATCTGAGCAGGATTGCGGTAGGGCAAGGTTATTTTTCCTAAGTGTTGCATGCCAGAGAAAGTCTTTAGAAAGAACTCTATGTCCAACCGCAGTAGTAACCTTCAAAGATCTTTGTCTCAGCAAATTTATTCTGTAAATTCAGTGGGTTAACTTTTCAAAAAGCGTGTCATTCTGTTTGCATACGCTTTTGCACAGAATCAAGTCATCGTTAAATACAGTGTACTCATGCACAAAAACATCTGCATTTGTGTCTGCAGAGCAAAGGAGACCTAATCGCTTGAACAGTCATTGTTTCAATATTGAAAAGTTATTAAGAGAGAAAAACACAACTCTCCAATCAGGTGGCAGTTTAATTTGTTAGGATCCAATTTGGGAAGTGCCTGGAAAGACTACTGCATGGTTCTTGGGTATCGATTTGCCAACTTCGAAAATTTTCCGAGGCGTATTGTAATGTCTTTTTAATTCAGTGTTTCATAGAGCTTCTAATAATGCTTTTTTTTCGCTCTGCAGATCAGTAGCGTGTGACTAGAAAAAAGGCACTCTGGAAAAGTCTTTTGCAATCTACAACAATTTTTTTTTCTTTGTTCTGTTTACAGTGGAGTGTTGTTGCACCTTTGTTTTGGGAACTTGAATCAGTAAAAATTACTTGAAATTATGTATGACAGATAACCACTCAAAGGAGAAGACAAATTCAGGCTTGGGTGTTCTTTTGTTGCATGCAATGAGCATCTAGAAGGCTGTTTCTAAAGCTTTGAAGTTTTCTTTTCTTCTTTCATTTTTGTTTCAGTGCAAGTCACCAAAGAAGTGGTCAAATTACTAGAATTAAAATTATATGTAAGACACTTTGTATCTTTTGATGTCATTGTATTTGTCAAGTCTATTCTGATTTAGGAGGTGGGAGAAATGCCTTGATGCCTCAGTCCTTCTATTAATTTCTCCATTTCTTCTGTGTTTGGTCCCTTTGCATAAGGAGGAAATGTTACATTTGGCATTCAGGGAAAAGTTGATTGGTGTTTTGTTTTTTTTTAATAACCAAAAAGCCAATTCCAAACAAAACTGAGTATCTTGAAGCAAAAAGAGCTCAAACCTTTGCAGTTCCATGTGACCTTTTGGCTTGCGTTTGCTCTGCGAGCCTGCTGCTAAAATATATTGTGTTCTTCACAGAGCTGCCATGCAGGAATGGTATCTTCCAGTCGTTTAACGAAGGAGTTTAGAAGTTTAACAGGTTGTTTTGTTGTTGTTGTCTTTGTTTTTTTGTGTTTTGCAGGCAGATTTTAAACTGATGTGTGATAATGCAATGACTTACAACAGACCGGATACTGTTTACTACAAGCTAGCTAAGAAGATACTGCACACGGGCTTTAAGATGATGAGCAAAGTAAGAGACCTATTAAAAACAAAGAGCAGAAACTCAATGGGGGTTTTTTATCATACTTAAAAGGAACATAATTAGTAACAATGATGAACGTTATCTCATCCATCTGCGATTAATTATATCAGTGCCTGTTAGTGCTGCTGTATTTAAGGGCTTGATAGCATTCTTGTTGTAACTACACCCTTACTTCTGAACCTTAGCTGCACCACTGGAGGCTGTAGGAGCTTCTTCCACTGGCCTCAGTGGAAGCAATTAAGATCCACGTATATAAAACCCAGTGTAAAATACCGCTTGGGGCTGAAACTCTGAAAACAAGATCTCATTTAAGTTGTATTTCTGCATAAAGAAGAAAGCTTTTCTTTTTGGAAGGCGGTGGGTGTAGGGGAGGTTTCAGGGGTTCCGCAGGTGGGCGTGCGAAAGCACACTTTTTACTCACACGGATGTTGGCTTGTGAAATGAAGTTGTTTTGGTGAGCTGCTGTGTGTGTGTGTGTGTGTGCGCGCACGTGTGTTGCAGTTGTGGTAAGTTTTGTGTAAAACAGGCAGTTGTCTTTGCATATGCAGTTTGTTTGTTTGTTTGTTTGTTTCTCTCTTGATAGTTGGGCTGCAGAAATTCTGATGCCATGCTACCATGACCAAATCATGTTGCATCGCCATTGGAAACGAGGCATTAAGAACCCAATAAGGCCATGGCCATTCCCATCCCATCCCATTATCATAGCATCTTGGCTATGAGGGAAAGGTTAAGTCCCTGCCGCTCTGTCCTTTCTGATTCTAGGAACGGCTGTTAGCTTTGAAGCGCAGCATGTCGTTTATGCAGGACATGGATTTTTCTCAGCAGGCAGCTCTTTTGGGTGATGAAGACACAGCTGTTGAGGAACCTGTTCCTGAAGTTGTTCCTGTACAAGCAGAGACTACAAAGAAATCCAAAAAGCAAAATAAAGAAGTTATTAGGTAAAGGTTTTCATGGGCATGCTTACTGGTTTGTTGCAGATTTTGTGATACTAGACAGCAACAAAGAATTAAGGAAAAAAAAACACCTCCTTTCAGCCTTTCTCCTTGTGGTCCATAGGACAGATGGGCAATTTTATTGTATTTTTATTTATAGAACTAGTTTAATAACCCAGTGATTCTCAGCTTGAAACAAACAATTCAAAGCATGACGGCATATTCTTTTACATGCTTACAGTTAATGTATATATAGATATTTTTATCCTTTCTACCTATATTTAATAATGAGTAGTTTCTTCTCATGATGGTTTTAAAAGTACTTTCATTTTTAACACAGCCGCAAATACCTTTTGCATTTTGTCCCTTTTTTTTTTTTTGTCTAAAATGATTGACTGTATCAAAATCTAACAGGATCTTTCTGGGAGGGCAAAGTAACCCCAGATCAGTCAATTATTTTATTTAACTTTAGTATTATCTGGCAGGATGTAGAGGTACAGGAGATTATTTCTGGAGCAGATGATAGTATCTTCCCAATGAAATCTTAATAAGCTGCTTTGTAAAGTACATTGCTAGTGCAATAGCTAACTTCCAGTTAACAGGCACCCCTGTGTCACAAAGTTGTGTTTTTATAGCTAAAATCTAACTAATTAAAGAGTTTTATTTTCTATTTTATGAGATTTTAGCAGAAACTGTGATCTACAAGCACATTCTGTTCTTTCTTAGACATCCTAGGATAGATGTTGAACTTAAATTGAAGAGCATTATATCAACTGGAATGTTGTGAAAATAAAACTGTAACAGAGTATTAGTAGTCATGTCTTAAGTAATCTGCTCATGTAGATGGGTTCAACAGGCTTCTTTCTTAGACATCCAAAGTAAAAAAAAAAAAGTGAAACATAACGTGTTATTTCAAGCTCATGCTCTCTCATTTTTGTTAAAAATGACCTTCAGAGTTCTGATCAGCCACGTATTTTTTGTTGCACTCCAAGCATTTTTGTAATCCTGCTTAATATCTGATGGAAGAAGGAGTGTTTTGATGTAGTTGTTTTGAGGAAATAGGGTGACTGCAACATGTGTCTTCAAAAAAATTATAAACTGAGTAATTTTTTTGGCTGGAACTGTTCCAGTGTCAGCATACAGAAGCATATCTTGCTGTATCATGGAGAATTCTCAAAGTGTAATTTGTTTTTTGTTTAATGGATGGTGTGTAGGGATTAACTGAAAGTACCCTTCTGTAAACAAGACCTGGTAGGGAGGAGGTGCTTTGGCTTTTTGTTTGGTTTTTTTAAAAAGATACAACAATTTGGTTTGCATAGTACCCAGAATACTAATTTTCTCTTCTGATTAATTCTTAATGTAAACTCCATGATGGGAGTAGCTTTGTACTTTGCCACTTCTTGTATGCTTATCTTCAAATGCAGGTGGCTAACAGAGCAAGAACTGAGACTGCCAGCCAATCCAGTACTGCTCTGTCTACCTAATATCTACCTAATAATAATCTAATAAATTAATTAAAAATTAAATGAAATAAAAAAATAAAACTAAATAATTAATATCTACCTAAACATGCAATTCAGGTAGTTAAAAATAACCGACCTTCAATTTTATCCTGGTACCAGTTTCCTTGCAATCAGTTGTGCCATAAATCTACTTTCCTGTTCTTGTCAATGTTTGTGGCTTTAGTAGTTGGGATTAATTTGGGTTTTGTAATTGACTTGACCTTTTAGACACTTGTATTTTGGCATCAGTAGGATAGATGCTGTTCTTTTTGTTGTACAATAAGAGCTTTGGGGGGAGAATCGAACGTAATAGCAGATATTTTTTGCCTTCATATTTCACAGTTAAAACCAGAGAAAGAGCTGAAGTCAGTGTTTGCAAAGTGTAAAAGTGATTTGGACCTCTACACTGTAGTTTAAAAAGTGACTTGATCACTTGAGCACCCTAATATCTAAGTAGCTTTGGAAAATTTTGGCCAGGATGTTGCGACCTTCTGAACGTTCTTTCAAAATTCTGGTCCATGAAGTATTCTGTAGAGTGTGACAGAAAGTGCCAGTTATTGAGGAGTTTCTTAAAGTTTCGATGAACCAAAAATCGTATAACACATTTGTCTCGTAATAGTATGATCTTGTGATCTTTTTATTGTCTTTAATAGCCAAACTTTCTTGTGTATCAGATCTGAATCTCTATACAGAGAGAAATTCTTAGCTAAGCAAATGGAAGAAGATACTCCAGGAGAGAGAAATGGATTTGGTGTGAGGAGATGCTCTACCCAGTACCTAAGGTGTTTGGCCCTAGTGTCTAATGTCCATATAATACCCTGAAAGATTTTGATGTACAACGTTTATTTTAAATATATGATGTAATGAAGACTGCCATATCCTGTGATACGTATCTTCACACTTCCCCTCGTAATACTACTTTTCTCTGATTTTATGTAATAGCTAAGACATGTCCTGTTCCATCTTAGGTGTGCTTATTTGTTATGCTTTGATTGTTTTGGTGCTTTAAGGAAAAAGGGAGCTGCTGAAAGAGAAATGTTAAATTCTGTAATTGCGATGAGAAGGGATGGTGATTAGGAGTACTAATTGCCAATGTTAACAAACATAGGAATTAAAGGACTCCTTGTTAGATTGGGAGCAGTGTCCTTCTACAAGCAACTAAATGACATAATCCTCATAAATGCAGCCTGTTGATTTTTTTTTTTCTCCTCGAGTTAAAGTCGCACAGTCTCCATTCCCTCATCACGTAATTTCTTTTCTGCATCTTTCTATTTGGAATTTGTGACATGCATATTCATGCATGTGGGAGACTGAGGATGCATACAGTATTCACCTTGTATTGATGCAATTTTACTCCCAATCTCCGTTTTTTTATACTTCCTTTATTTTCATCGAGATACAGAAACAAATTTTTCAAGTTCAGTAGTTTGGTAGTTTTCAGCTTTTGCTGCAAAACTTCAGTTTCATAATTTGGTTATAATTCCACTGAAATGCTGAAGTAGACTGATGCTGGGAGAGGAGTGGGACTGAGTGTTCTATTTAGCAAACCCCGAATTCAGCCCTTCGTTCTGGTTTAGCTTTGAATTTCTACAGCTGCTTCTCTTCTCTTTCTTAGTTGCATGTTTGAACCTGAGGGAAATGCGTGCAGCCTGACGGACAGCACAGCTGAAGAACATGTGCTGGCACTAGTGGAACATGCAGCAGATGAAGCTCGGGATAGGATCAATCGATATCTACCCAACAGCAAGGTCTGCTGCACAACCAAGTTCATGGTTCCGTTTTGTGTCTGACCATTCAATGCTTTGTTGCCTCTTAAGAAACAGGCTTCAGTGTTCCCATCTAGGATCTGATCCAGGTGGTCCTGCTCCGGCAGGGGGATTGGACTGGATGATCCTTTGGGGTCCCTTCCAACCCCTAACATTCTGTGATTCTGTGTGTGATTCCATGTTCTGAGACTGTAATGTCGAGGATGTATGCTCGGTGTGGAACACCGATGTTGCCTATCCTTTAGTTCCCACTGAAGCCCATTGTAGGGTGTCCTGAGTGGAGCTCGAGTTGTATTGTGTGTTGCACACGTTTTTAGAAATTCACTTGCAGAAAACAGTGAAATGTTGCTCAGTCTTGAATCTGTCTTCCTTAATTGCAACCCTTAGCATTGGGAACGATTAAAATAGCATCACAATCTTCTTATTGTTGTAGCCTCAGAAGAAGCAAACTTTGGCGTAGGCTGAAGGGTTATTAGGATTCCTCCCCAAAAGGAATTCAGGAATGTGAATTTAGAGTTGGGGCTGTTCAGCCTGGAGAAGAGGAGGCTCCGGGGTGACCTTATAGTGGTCTTCCAGTACCTCAAGGGGGCCTACAAGAAAGATGGGGAGAGGCTGTTCAGGAGGGCCTGTTGTGATAGGACAAGGGGTAATGGTTTTAAAATAGAGGGAGGTAGATTCAGATTGGATATTAGGAAAAAAATTTTTACCATGAGAGTTGTAGAACACTGGAACAGGTTGCCCAGAGAGGTGGTGGATGCTCCATCCCTGGAGACATTCAAGGCCAGGTTGGACGAGGCCCTGAGCAACCTGATCTAGTTGGAGATATCCCTGTTCCTTGCAGGGGGTTGGACTAGATGACCTTTGAAGGTCCCTTCTAGCCCGAACCATTCTATGATTCTATGATAATATTTAAGTGCTAAATTACTGTTTTGAATGAGAAGTCCAGAACCACTTGTAGGTTTGTACGTACAAGCAGTAACTGTCAGCTATAGCACATTCTTGTGTGAGTACAAAATAAACACACGTGCTTCGGGGACTCAGAGAAGATAGCGGTTTGTCCATGTTGGACCTTCAGACAGTGCGAACCACAGGTTTGGTCACCTTGGACGTGATTTTGTCACTGTTCCATGCCTTTGGGTTTTGTGCTCTTCCAAGAGTTAGAAGGAAAAGCTCAGTGATACTGTTACTGCAGATCTCTTAGCACCATCTGTTCATGGGTTGTGCTGTCCTTAGCTATATGGTAATGGTAGATTCCTTCAGTACTTCGTGCTAGAGTTGGAGTGTTTGCTGCAGGCCTGTGTTGAGATACATTTATTCTGTTTCTTTGCATCCTGGGAGCCTTACTACCACCATTGTCCTCATTTCTCATGCTGTCACATACTCTAGTGACCACTGCGATTGAAAAAAAACTAACCAGGATGTTGCTACATCCTGCATTTTCCACCTGTTTTTTTAACCGTTGCAGAAGAAACACTTGCTTTGAAGCATTAGTGGTAGCAGTTGTGTCTTCAAACTTAAACGTCTGTTTCTTGGACAGTGGCCCTTGTTGTGGAGGCAACAGATGGATTAGGAAGTAAAGCCTCAGAGAATAGTGGGAGAGGGTTTAGCTTCTTCACTGTATTTCTGTTTCTGTGGATAATTAGGAGGCCTGCTAGGATTGGAGGCTATTTGAAACCTCTGAAGTAAGCTTGGCTTTTTAAAAACCCTTCAAAGCAATACTCTAATTGCTAGCTTTACTGCAAATGCCTCTCACGCTGGTGCACTTTTGCAGTGTTCAGGAAAGAGTTGTTCTAGGTGTGCAGCTCTTAATTGTCCACGCTGTTAATCAGCTGGGCAACCCACTGCAGATCCAACTGGATCTAGGTGGCACTGGCATGTTCTTAGAGTTCAGCTGCTGTTAACCTTCGCCATCACTTGAAGGTATTGTTCCTATTCATTGTCACCTCTATTTTTATTATATGCCAGCATTAGCTTTGGCCTTAGGTATGGAGAGAGTTTAAAACATTTTAAGAGGGAGAGGGGAAAAAAAAAAAACAGAATAGGGGAGAGATTTATTTTACCGATTTACTTGGAAGTATTTGGTAGTATTTCTTTAGAGAGAGCATAGCTTTCATTTTCCCTCTTTCCTGAGAAGTTACTGTCTGTGTCGCATGATCCATGTGTAGCCAGGTTCTGACACCAGCTTTGTTTGTGGCATCAGTTCTGGCTCTTCTCTTTACAGATCCTGGCGTGTTCTATTGTCTGTCTCATCTCTGGCTGTGACAGCCTTGTGTTTGTGTGCTCTGATCGGTCTGTCACAGCACGTACTCCTCTTCGAGAATTCGATAGTGTGTTCACAAAAGTACTTCTAATTAGAGAAAATCATGGGCGAGACAGGAAAACAAGCAGTTGGTCCAGGTTTGGAAATCAGCAGAGAGGTCGATTGTGGAGAGGAGTTACAGTTCTGCTTCTAAAAAGGGTGGTCTAGGCTTGGCAGGCAGAAAGCCTGGCTCCATGCTAATTATAATGGAATTGTTCTTGTCTTGGGTGCAAACTTTAGATCTGTTTTGGGAAGATGAATAAGGAGTTGTACACACGACTTAGGAACTTTTACCCCTAAGTCTTCTGTTCGAAGCATTTGCTAGGCAGTGGTAAATAGTTGTGACCCAAAATCATCTCTATTAAAAAGGGAATGCCAGAGTGCCGGATCTGAATGCAGCTAAAAATGCTTTTTATAGTTCTCTGTGTAAGCAAGCAACTCCTTTGAGTTTGGACTGATTCAAACCATTGCTTCTATATCTTTGTGGTTCTGTTCACAGATTGGTTACCTGAAAAAAAACGGAGACGGAACTTTGTTGTTTAGTGTAGTAAATTCATCCGATCCAGAAGCAGAAGGTAAATACCATAATCTTTCAAGGAAATATCTCTGATGTTGAATGTTCTAGCAGATTTTGAAGTCTGAACTGTACATAACAGATCCTGTGTAGTAATGATGAGTTTAAAAAAATAAATGAAAAATTATTCCCCAAACCGTTTTCCCCAACAGCTATGTTTAGTATCTCCAATATAAGACATTTCTCTTTGCCTTTCAAATTTCCACTCTTCAGATGCTCTGTTTTACTGATGCTAACAGTAAGAACGTAAAATTATAAATATTTGCAAGCACTTACACATTGCTACAACTTTGTAGAGAACTTGGAAGACAGCCTTTTGCTCCAAGTACCCTGTGGTGTTAAAATCTAATAGACAAAAGGCGCAAGAAAGTGCTGTAATCAATGCACAGGTGCAAGTACAGAATCATCTTTCATCTTTTTTCTGATTTCCTAATTTAAATTCTCAGCTAAATTTCGGTTTTACGTTAATTAGGTTTTGCTTAATGTTTTTTCTTTATTTCCTTGATCTTTTCTGTTGGTTTTTGTTTGTGTTACTACTATACATTATTTATGTTGTCTTTGCTTTCCACTTGTTTTAGTTTTGAACTCCAAATGCAGAAGTTTTGAAAGTTTGTGCTGTCTATAGTCTTTCTGTTGCTGTAATGTTGATTTAGCACTTCCTTCTTTGCACCTTTGGAGACGGGAATTCCTTCACAGCTTACCTGTTGTTGCGTGGATGAACACATGACCCTTTTGACTAGTCACATTTCTGTTGGTTTTTTTTTTGATTGGGAGATACAAGCCTGTAATTATTCCTGTCTAAATTCCTTTTCATTTGGTAGTGAATTTTTCTGGAATGAAATTGAGCGTTTTGGCTGCCATCGTGGCCTTACCTATTTCTGGAAAAAAAAAAAAACAAAAAAGAAAAGAAACTGAATGTGATTTAATACCTCTGAAATGATGCCACCGAAAATTCGGATGGTGATGGTAATGGGAGCAGAGCAAGCTGTCACTGTGTGCTGTAAAGTACTGTGCTGCTTCCTGATGTTTCTGTGCTCCAGAGTATTTTTTGGTTGTTTGTGTAGTTACACTGAATTTGCAGCTAATACTATCATCTGAATTTCTGTCGTAGTTTTGGGGGGTATTTTAATCCTAGTGAGGTTCTAGGGATAAACTTGCTTTCTGTTGTTCCGTAATGGAGCATAATTACTACTAGATTCCGTAACAGCCACAGAGATTTAAAATAACTGGAAGTGTCCTAAATGTTCTGGCGATTTTTTTTTTTATGTGTGTTTAAAAGCATATTCCAATTTGTTTGAACCATTTTAATTAATCAGTTCTCAGAAGTTTAGAAGGAAGAAATATTGCCATAGCCATGATGGTAATTCTCTTAATTATTCGTGTGGTGTCTGGGTTTCTATGGACAAACTACCACTTAGTCAACGCAAGAAGTGATAAAAGCAACTTCATAATATCTGGATTTTGAATGTTTGTGAATCAGCTGGTAAAACAATTTCAGCTCTATACTTTAAAAGTGAAACAACTAAGCAAGGCATAGATCTTGTGAGTAAGAGATGGAAATGTATTTGCAGCAGGTATTTGGAATTTAAATGGAGAACCTGAATTACACTACCTTTTCTTAGTAAAAACGTACAGATTAAAATATATTTAGCCTTTATGGTAAAATAGCCAAATCTAAATATTCACCGTAAATAAATTTTAAACATGCAATGCTTTTCTAAAAATTATTATCTTTTTTAAAACCAAATTATTAGAGGAAGAGACTCACCCAGTGGATCTGAGTTCACTGTCAAGCAAATTATTACCTGGCTTCACTACACTGGGCTTTAAAGATGAACGAAGAAATAAAGGTAAATGCCAAAGAACGTGTTTTAACTTCGTGTTAATTAAATCTTTGAGCAATTTCTTGATATAAAATAATTTCAGATTGTATCTGAATGAAAGTTCACGTGGTTATTTCTGTAATACGTAATTATTACATTTACAGCAGAATGCAGTTTTAATTAAATTGATTTTTTTGCTTATTGAACATTACTTAATTGGGAGTTTATGGATTAATGTTTTATACCTTCATGTCTTAGCCACACTAGAAGCTTTCCAATCATGGTACTCCATTTTCTCTGCAGGAAATAATTTTTCCTTAGCAACTGCACTTAGAGTTGAGAAAAAAAAAAAAAACGTTTTGGTCACTTGCATTTTTGTACCTCGTGACAAAAATTTCACAAATAGTGTTGGTTTTTTTTTTCTAGTATTATTGACATTTTTAATAGTTTCTAATCTGCTCTCCAGAAACTGGCTGGCAAACAACAGTGAAGCAGACACATGCAAAAAGCAGAAATATAAAAGGAGGCAGGGGAATGAATCTTTTTTGTGGGAGTGGGCTGGTTAGCTTAGTTCTTTATTTTATAGTATGTTTGTTTATATGGTTAAAATAGTTGCACTGATTCTAGAGTCTGGAAGTGTCCTTGGGATATTGCTCTTAATTTCCATTGGAAGACAAAACATACTGCACTTTCTGTATCTGTTTCAGGAAACAAAATCTTTTTTTTATCTCCACCCCCTCACCCCCAAGGGATCTTTCACACTCGTGTTAAATCATTTGTCATCTCTCTTCTACCTGTCCAGTAACCTTTCTTGCAAGTGCTAGTACAGCACCTTCCATGCAAAACAACTCCATATTTCATGATCTGAAACCAGATGAAATGGAACTCCTGTACTCAGCATATGGTGATGAAACTGGGATACAGTGTGCCTTAAGGTAAGGGCTTCCTTACCAGGAGGCCTGACTTCTCGGAGCAATTTTAGGGAAAGCAGTTTGGGCTAAATGTCAACTAGGAGCCTCCAAATCTTGCTACTTTTTTCTAAAGTTTATTTTAAAAATAACTCGGTATAAAACTTGAAGCTAATTTTTGTCCTGGTTGGTGGGATTTTTTTGCGTTTGGTTTGTGTTGGTTTTTTTTTTTTCCCATCTGCACTTTTAAGTTACCCTGTTTTCTTGCAAGGCTGTTATGGATCTTGTTATTAGGGTCTTTGACCGCAGGATGTTATAGATTGCTAAAGATTGAGCATTTTGCTTTAAACCCAGCAGTAAGTAGATTTAGCTATGCAAGTAATACATTGCAGTAATTTAAAACAGTGTTGTTTTTCAAGGAGTTTCAAAACAGTTAAAGAGTCTTGAAAAGGAAAATGCCTCTTTTCATTAAATTGTTAATCTTGAGGCCAAACAATTAATCTCAAGTTCTTTTGTTTTTATTAACTCACTACCAATGACAGTTCAAATGAAAATTTGCTGGTAGATGTGAAAAGCAAATTTGCACATACGTTTACCTCCATTTGAGGGGAGGAAAAAAAAAAAAGAGAAGAAATAAAATCATTATCTTGAAGGCATTAATTGCTTTTCTGAAGAAGTGTATGAGAGTAAAAGAACAAGGAAAATGTAGGTGTAATGCAGCGTAGTTGGAGAAAACCATATTATAAGCTGAAATATTTTTACAAAAGTAAACATTTTCTGTAACGCTTGTGTCTCCATTCCTACTAGCTTACAAGAATTTGTGAAGGATGCTGGAAATTACAGCAAGAAAATAGTAGATGATCTTCTGGACCAGATCACGAGTGGAGATCATTCCAAAACTATTTATCAGCTAAAGCAGGTGTGTCTTTGATGCATAGAAATGTCACAAGTTCATCAGAACAAGAAGGGACCTGTTTCTGGTTTTTAATATTATAGAATCATAGAATGGTTTGGCTTGGAAGGGACCTCAAAGATCATCTTGTTCCAACCCCCCTGCCATGGGCAGGGACACCCTCCACTACACCAGGATGCCCAAAGCCTCATCCATCCTGGCCTTGAACACTTCCAGGGATGGGGCAGCCACAGCTTCTCTGGGCAACCTGTTCCAGTGCCTCACCACCCTCTGAGGGAAGAATTTCTTCCTTAGATCTAATCTAAATCTCCCCTCTTTCAGTTTAAACCCATTGCCCCTTGTCCTGTCACTACACGCCCTTGTCCAAAGCCCCTCTCCAGCTTTCCTGTAGCTCCTTCAGGTACTGGAAGGCTGCTGGAAGGTCTCCCCGGAGCCTTCTCTTCTCCAGGCTGAACAGCCCCAACTCTCTCAGCCTGTCTCCATGGCAGAGGTGCTCCAGCCCTCGGATCATCTTCGTGGCCTCCTCTGGAACCGCTCCAGCAGCTCCATGTCCTTCTTGTGCTGGGGACTCATATTCCTTGTGGAAGGATTAATTATTTGAAACATTGAAATAGTGACGGAGATGGGTAATAGATACCTGTACAGCAATATTAATCTAACAGTGCAAACTTTTTAATTCATGTAGTATGTCTGAAGGAAAAACTTTTAACTTTTATTTCCAAAAGCACTTTACCTAAGATTCATACTAAGACTGAAGAAGAGATTTTTCTCAGAAGTGTGTTTAATTCTAGTGGGAACATTTGCATTCCCAAGACAAAATAGACTACCAGAAACTGCAAAGTCTTGTTTCATGTTATCTTCACTCTGAAGACAGCTCTTAGTTTGAAATAATTGCCTGCTGTTTAAATGGTGACATTCTGAATGATTCAAGAATAAAGAAAGGGAGGCAAGGGGAGGATGGAGAGTATTCAGACATCCTGAGACATGATGGGAATGAGATTATGCTAAATCTCTGCAGACTTAGAATAGGTTGAGTGATGTTTGGGGAAAAAAGAGACAACAGAATGAAAAATACAGAGGATTCTTCAGAAAGTTATGGGTATTTTTTTCCAGACACCACTGGGAAAAGATGGTATATGAAACAGGATGAAGTGGAAAGGATTAGTTCAAAAAAAATTCCAAAGTTCAAGAAGTTCAAACCCAATACTTTTAATGTTCTTCTACATCTAGAAACGTGTGTATACAACATATTGAAACTAGCTTTAAAATAAAACATGTGCCTTTCCCTCTTGTTCTATGGACTTTGTTCCGAATGAGAATTCCTGAGTACCTTTCAAATGGCCAATGGTTATTTACACTTAGAAGTCCTGGTCAGTTGTGACACGTGTGGGTACGTACATGTTTTGTGTGACTAAATGTGGTTCGGTCATGACGTGCCATGGTGTTTAATGCGAGTATTTCGTGATGCTGGATTAGAGTAAGAAGGAATTACCTGTGAAAGTGCAACCTTAAATGCTTTGGAATCAGAAGTTACCAAAGTAATGACTGAGATACTGCACTTGAACATAAACTTCATGGGCAGAAGAAATAGTGTAGGGGGTCTCAAAGATTAGTAAAAATGCATAATAATGATATATTTCAAAACAGTAACTGTCACATTGAAATTATATAAAGATATGTGAAAAAGTTAGCTGTCTTCAGCCTCATTTTGTGTGTGAAGTTTGGCTATTCCTGACATTGTACAAAAGAGAAGTCTTTCTCTTATGTCGAATAAAAGTAATTGTTGGTGTTCTTTCTTTCCAGAGGCGAAACATCCCAGTAAAACCACTGGATGAAGTTAAAGTAAGTTGTGCTGATACTCAGTCTGGTGGTTTTTTTTCAACTGGAAAAGTGTCTTGACATTTAAAGTAGAGGAAGTGATGTATAATAATACAGAAAAGATTGACAAGTGGACTATATGGTAAGGAAGAGGCTGTTAGGTTAGTCCTAAAGAGGCTGTCCTGGTTGCTTGTGAATTGTTTACGTCAATTTATATGATCCCAAATTAGAGAAGAGCTAGTCTTAATTTTTTTGTAAAGGTTCTGTGGAGACATCACGAAACATGATGGTGTTCTGTAGTGGCCTAGGAGCTGATGGTGGCAAAGCAGTGAATTACACAAACTGAGAATATTCTTCGGAAACATGAGTGTAAGCTATGAAATGCTGAGATCTAAAATATGATTTGATTCTTTAGGTTCTGCCCGTTCTCATAAAAGAAGAACACAAGTTGCGGAATACCTGCCCGGATTCTTCCAAACAGATTATGGTAAAATGGTCGGGGCATGGCAGTGAGGGGAGTGGAGAGAAAAAGAGGAGTATTGAGACATTAATTTTGTTTTGGTGCAAGGATATGCATGCTCTGAGGTAGAAGATGAAAATAACAGTATCTAGAATGAGCTTTCCGTACTTAAAATGGATCCTCTGACATTCAAGTCTATTTTAGTTAGTGACTTTATTTGCCCTGTTCTGTATTCTCTAGTTTAATTCAGCATGTGTAACTAAAAAGACCACTTGGGAATCTGAAAGGTACTTGATCTGCTGATGAATATTTGAGGTTCAGCCTGCTGTAAGAGTGGAAAAAAACAGTTTTAGTGCATCCATTGAAAAAGTCTGTTAGAAAGTAGGGGTAAATAATGTATATCTTATGTGATTAGTAGCTGTGAAAGCATCTTTCTTTAAGTGGTATAGATTTTATCTTGCAAATTATTTGTGACAACAGAAGATATCCACCGTATTCCGTGGTGATTTGCATTAAAAATATATGAATTTCCTTATAGCAACTAATAAAATGTATAGTTTTAGAAATATTCCTTATGTTTTGTGGAAAGGTTTGTATTTCTCTAGAAGGTGACTGGTTAATTGATGAAAGTGCTAAGTTTCATTTTCATATTTCTTAAAGATAATACCTGGTTGTGTATTTACCTGCATGTCTTATGTCTCCTGGTGGGATGGGCAGCCTTGGAGAATTCTGTTAGAATGTGTTTTGCAGCTTAATGACTTTTACTTTGATCTCTTATGTTTTGCCGTTCCATAGCAGTATTGCAACAGGTATGGAAAACATTAAATTGTTGTGGAGCAGGCTGTAGATCGTTATCCAAAGATATAAAAAAATACTTGAGAGACTAGCTCCAGCTGCTACTGTGAATAGGGAGGACCACCTCCCTGGTTTTATCAGTCATATACTAAAAATTTCAAGAAATCCAGTGTTGCATTGAGGTGAGGGAAAATGTGATCTGGGAGTGGTTTAGGGTGGGGGATACTGATAACGCTTCCCCCTGCCAGGATTCTGCCTTGGGACAGGGATGAGTTGAGCAAGTGAGTCCCAGGGGATTTGGTAATGTTGGTTTCCCCACTCCCAGATGATGAGATGACAGATACTCAGACTACCCTGCAGGTCCCTTGCTGTTCCTATGACTGGCGTGTCCTGGAGCCGTGTCTGAGCTGCTTGTGGTGCACACTCTTGAGAGTATGGATTCATGCACTTGCCTGAAACATTAACAAGTTTTATGACAGCTTATCACTATTGCTAATCTTTGTTTCTTGTATTGTAATAGGTTGGAGAATCTGCTGGAGACAGTAACACTTCTGACTTGGACTTCCTCTCTATGAAACCGTATTCAGATGTATCTCTTGATATTTCTATGTTAAGTTCGTTAGGTAAGTAATTAAATAAACAGGCCATACATTATGGTTTAGTTCTACCATTTAGGCAAAATAACACCTGGATTTGCTAAGAATAAAAAAGTGTTCAAAAAGTAGTAGTAAGTCTGCATTGGAGATAGGTAAAAGCCTAGGATACAAGATAAAGGAAACCTCGGTCTGTTTTTCCTTTGAGCCATCGTGTGCGAGCCAAGCTAACTCTTTCTATACCACTGAAGAAACCAAAGTGTTTGTACCTGACAATTTTGATAGCTATGCTTGTTTTTTATGTGTTTATAGTAACGTAAATGTTAAGAATCAGCATGGAGCTTTGGCTCAGAAATGTTACTGCTTCATACGCTGTCTTTTGAAATAACTTGAGAAGAAGGTAGGTGTATGAAGCTCGTTCATATCGCTGCTTAGAAAATCCCAAAACAAAAATCTGAAGAAACTTCAGGTATTGGAAAGGCTTCAGCTTCAAATAAGACAGTTATGTAAAAGTGTTGGGATGTTCTTTCAAATACATGCCTTTGATGTAGTATTTGAAGAAGGATACCGAAGAAGTAATGTTCCCATTTCTGCAGATTGCTGAGCTAGTCAAATGTCTTCAAAAATGTCATCACAAAAAAAAAATAATATTGGTTACAGTTTAAGATACTTTTAATCTAGAATGTGAAAGATGCCAAACTATCTATTATAAAACATAACCAAGGTAATTGAAAGCTTAAAGAAAAGAAAAAAAGATTTCTCCAGACTTCTCCCATAGGTGCAGTATTCTTTGAAAAGCAATCATAAGCTCTGATTATGCTGTCCCGCACTAACTTTATTGCAGTTCAGTAAAAAGTGAATAAATATCTGTTTTATAGATAATGTTTAGACATACCAGTTTTACTATGAATTTCTTGCTCAACTGAAAGCTGCTTGCTTTTTTCTTCTTTGATCTTTCTGTAAGCAATCATACTTCTAGGTTATTTAGCTTCTGTAGAGAGTTTGCGGCATTATTTCATAGATTCATAGATT